GTAGGTGCCCAGCCAGAGCCTGACCTTCTTGCAGGGGTCCCTGATCTCCGCCGCCCACTTGCCCCACGGCCTCTGCCTCACCCCTCGGAACTTCCTCTGACTCCCCGCCTTGGCCGTTGCGCTAGCCGCCTCCGCCTCCTTCCTGTCTACTTTTCCACCGACCCCAGCCCTCATCCTCCGCCTGCTGCTCCTGGAGACGCCGTTCGCACTTCCGCCAACTATTCCGCCATCTCCGCAGCAGGGCAGGATTCTGACCTCGCTGATAAACCTCCTGACCCGCCGGCGCTTGACGGATAATCCATCCCGTTCGTCCCCAGACGAGTCGGTAGCGTCTGGGTCGGTGACGGAGAACCGCACCGTCCTCACGGCAGTAGTCTCCGCCTGAAAACGATTCTTCCGGCTGAAAAAGGGATTTTCCGGTCTGGCGGCCACTGTGGTTTGGGTAACATGCTCGCTGTACTTGACTCGCCCTCCAGAAAACATAGTATTCTCGTCCTGCTCTAACTCCATCTTACAGTACACAGATTTTCCTTCCCCCTTTTTTGTTCTTGTTTATGAAGCTTTAATTTTGCTGCTTTCCCAACAGATTCGCATTGAAAGGCGAAAAGGGTTGAGAGAGCGTGAAAGGATTAAGAGTAAAGGGGGTGAGAGATTCTTTGAGAATAAAGAGAGAAAGTTGAAAGAGGATGAGAGTAAAACCACGCTATATTAACAGAGATCAAAAGACCGAAAAAATAAACTAAGTAAAGGAGATGCGAATCAAATGGATAATGAAAGTACTTTTTTTGAGTTTCCCCCTTGTTTTTCCCTTTTAGTGTGTGTGTGTGTGTGTGTGTGTGTGTGTGTGTGTTTTGGGTAATTTGAGGAAAGCCCAGATGGAAACTTGGATTCCTCTGTTTAGAGGAGAGGGTGAAGAGCGAGTGAGTGAGTAGAGAGTACAATCGGCTTTAGAGAGAGAAAGGTTGGTAAGAGAGAGAAAAGTGACTAGTGTAGTAGTAGGTGTTCGTTCAGTTGTGGTGAGAGACCGAATAATGTGAACTGAAGCCACTATTATATAGGAATGCGATAATTGCTCACATTCGATAATTTTGGGGTTCAAATAAAATGGAAAGATTCACAATTTTTTTTTTTCTTTTTTTTTTTAAAAACAATTCGGAAAATTGACTTATTCTTTTTTGTAATCTGGTTTAATTAAGAATCCCAAATGGCGTTTACCAGTTAACTTTGAGCGAGATATTTATTCGAACGAGCCGCCGCATCTGATGGGGACCTGGGATCTGACACGTGTACCGAGGACCTAATAAGGCCTCAGTAGTAAATTTTCATTTTTACGGAACCACCGACTTGTCAAAAAAAAATATATATATATATATATATATAATTAAAAAAAATAATTTGAATTTGTATTTTTATAAAATTCACTAACTAACAATTATTTTATTATTTGTCCATTATTACATTATAATAAAATAACGCTATTGTAATTTATATAATATTATTTTATATCATAAAAATTATTAATATTTACCTTCCTAAAGGTAGATTTTATCGATTTAAAAAAATATGACTCGGCTATTTGAGGAGTCTCATGAAATGAAACAAAAAATTTAAGCTTGTTATTTTGTGCAAAAACTAAAAAAATTAATCACAGTATTTGTTATATATCTTGGGGTTTAGTATATTCCATTATTATAAATTTATAGTGGGATGCCTATTTTTTTTTCAAACTTCAAATGAAATTAGATCAAGGACTCGAAAATATAAAATTCGGGTAATCAACAGATTACATACTTGCCCTTAAAGCTTACAACAGCCACTTCAATAACGAACAAGTACAGGAAAACAAAATGTCTATTGTTAGAATATCACTTGTGAGTTGTCTCACATCGTTCATACATTGACAATCAACAGATTACATACTTGCTCTTAAAGCTTACAATCGCCACTTCAATAACGAAGTACAGGTAAACAAAATGTCTATTTCGTATTGTTAGAATATCATTTGTGAGTTGTCCCACATCGTTCATACATTGAAAATAGACCCACCTCTACTCCTCTTTCTACCAATTGGTTTTGGGATGGTACTCCACTTGGGCTGAGGCTTTCCCCGCTTATGGTGCACTTGATGTTAGTGAGACCGTACGCGTTTTCTCCAAGTTTCTTTCAAGTATTTTTTTCAGATTGTAGCTCTAGTTTTCTTTTCATTTATTTTAGTTAACAAGGGACAATTTAAAAAATTTGTTTCCTCGAATTCGATTTTGGCATGCATGCAATAATTCCTAGAAGCTATAAACATATTTGATTTTCAAAATGTTCTTGTATCTTATGAACCTACGTACTTTTTGCCTAGGGAAAAATGAAAATACAGCCAGGATATTACTGTTTATTTAAAAAAAAAAAAAAATGAAGATTGCAGTTTAACCAATTTTACTATCTTGAAATCTGTGGCCGAAGATCACGTGACTAACGGAGGAGATAGTTCCGTTAATTTAGTCGGTGAAAATGACCAAATAAATGTACATCATCACCCTTATCTTTGACTGAAATATTCTTTTTTATTTTTTTATTTTTTATTATTTTTTTATTTTTTAACTGCGCATGGTTAATAAATAATATTGAGATCGCAACAGGCTTTGCTAATCTTTATTTTAAGAAGACGGGTACAGGGCTTGTTGGTCATCGTAATGAGTTTTTTAGATTTTAGTTTTTACTGCCTGAATGATTGAGACCATCATGGTGCCTCGCATGTTCTTAAATGCCAAAATTACATGGTTCGTAATTAGATTTAGATAGATTTTATTTTACTTATAATCTAAAAATAATTAAGTACGGATTGATTATTTATCGTCATGATACAATAATTCTGAATGTGCTGAGTTTAATAGTAGGCTCGCACGCTTAGAGATCTTATGTGGCAAAATTACATGGTTGTTTGAGTATATTTTAATTTACTTTCATTCCAAAAATAATTAGGTACGGATTATTCATAAATATGTTGATTATTTATGGTGATGTTACATGTATTAATTGCATTTTGATATAATTTTTTATTATAACCATTGAATTGTAAATGTATTTTTAAAGTTAATAACTTTTTTATTTTTTTATCAGTTTTAAACTATAATATATCAAATTAATCATCTCTTGATGAGTTTTGGTTTTACATCCATATTGTATGTAAAAAAAATAAATTATATTTATATTTATAACAATAACAAAATTGTTTTCTAATATTAATTAGAAAAATAAAATTATATATCAATTAATATATTTATATTTCAAATAGTTATATGATATAAGTTATAAAATTTACAATAATATAACATATGTAACTCACACAACTAATCAGTGTCATTTTAAAATATATAATAGTATATATTTTTTTGTAAAAAAGAAAATCAAATTTAAAATATTTTTCTCACTAATTTTAAAATTTTGGAATATTTTTTAACAAGCATCTGTGTAATACACGTGTGTTGTACTAGTTGTTTGTAAATCATCAACAATTATATATTAATTTTTTGAGATATGGATACCCAGTATGTACATGTATTTTTTTTATTGACAATGTCCTCTAAAAAACTTATTATTCACACCAATACTTACGAAAATATATGTGATATAAAATTGCATATCCAAATGAACCACATAATTAACAATTATTTGAGATTTTACCTATATCTCGTACATATACTAACTTTATCCAAACCACACGCATAGTTAATATTAATTATACGAAATACATTCGCATATTTGTTTATTGTATATCCAAATTAATCGATTTTACTTATGCTAATTTATTTCGCATATATAAATGTCGCATGCTCAAATTGATAGTCGCATATTTTACGATTATGCGACACATTTTTGCTTATTTGTTGTCTCGCATATCCAAACTGATCGCAACATATTTTACAATTATGCGATACGATTTCACATATTTTATGTCTCGCATATCCAAATCAGACGTGTAATTAACAAGTATGCAAAACACTTATGCACATTATGTAAATGCGAATCCAAATAAAACGTATTATGCAACGTATTTTTGCATAGTATACGACTCGCATATCAAAATTCATCGCATAATTGACCATATGCGATAACTCTTCGCCTATTCTTATATCGCATGTCCAAATCGAATGTCGCATATTTTATGTTATGCGACGCATTTTCGTATATTGTACGACTCGCATATCTAAATCCATCGTATAATTAACCATATGCGATAATTCTTTCGGGGGTATTGTGCTCGCTGGAAGATGCCATATCACGAGAGTTGTCATCGTGGAGGGATGCAACCTCGTCACTCACTGAAGTGTCAGGGAGGTCTGTCTCATCGTCCAGGAAGTTGTCGTCGTCGAGGGGAAGACTAGTCGCGTTGCTTGGAGTGTAGTAGGAGAAAGAAGGCTTGTCATCCATCTCATATGAAAGGATAGAGAAATACGAGTTATTTGCCTTGGAGGTCGTCTCAAGAGGCTGAGAAGGCAAGAAGCCCGTGGACTTGCCCTTTGGCCCGTCCATAACTGCGCCATTAGGTCGGTTAGGTTGAGCAGCCGTTCCACCCTAGGTGGCAGTCTCTACAACGACCTTGCCCTTATCCTTATGTCCCTTCGGGGACTCAGGTGCGCGGACAAGGGCCTTACCCTTCCTCTTACGGTACCTCAGAGTAGATTGGGGGAACCAATCTAGCCCCACGGCGGAGCGACGGAAGAGACGGTTGGGGATTGTTGCAACTAGTGTAGCAATCACCACAAAACCCTAACCTTAACCCTCCCGAACTCGCAGAAGTAAATCAAAAAAAAAAGGAGAACAAGATGAGCCAAAAAACAGAAGCTAAACAAACCCTTAAACGAAACCAAACCCTCAATGGAGATCCACTCTTTTCGAATAGAATCCCAACTCTCCAGCGAGAGAATCCTCTTCTCATACTTCTCCTTTGTATCATCATCATACAATAAAGTTAAATTGTTGATTTCTCTATATTAGATACACGAGCAACAAGATAGAATCGTTTGGCCACTTGATGTAGCGCAACAGAAGGAAAGGGAACGAGATAAATCTCAAGCAGATAAAATTCTTATTATTCTTCAACCATCGTTTCCCTCTGATTACACAACATAAATAGACTCAAAGACTCCTAAACTTTTAACTTATTAACTAAGTTTTAATACTAAAAGATAAACATCATCATAACAATAAAAAGATAAATAATGAATATTAGGAATAAAGACTATGCTAATAATTAATATAATAATTAATTATATTAACGTCGGGATTCGATCGTATTTATTGAGATCGTATTTTTTCAATAAAGCTATCGCGAGCTCGTCTTCATCATCCTCTCCCGGTTGAGGAGGATTCGCCCTGAAATTCGCAACGAGCTCGTCTTTAATTTTATACATGTTGCAGACTTTGTTGTTGTGGAAACCCATGACTATGAGACAACCATCCAAACCTGGTCTTCTTGGGTTGCGAAATATTTAGCCAAACAATTGGTGTTTTCTCGT